GGGATGAGCAATGGGTGTTATATGGAAACCAACTTGACAATAAACTACTTGAAAAAAAAAAACAATCTGTTTTAGTAGTGGATTCAATTTTGTTTTGAAATTAGTATCAAGTAAGTGAAATTTTAGTATCTAGGCCCACTGGTCCCTCTATATGTAATTCAATTTCTAAAAAGAAGACAGAGGTCTGTTTTGCATTACTGAGTTGAAACAACTGATACACGTGTAATAGAGATCACACATTGCTTTGGGCATTAACACTGTAAGACAATAATTCTCCACTGAGACATACTGATTGATAAAAAAGATGCAAATTTGAAGGAAGTCTACCCTGTCAAAATGTAGTATGTGTCTTTAAGGAAATAGACTAATAGCCTTGGCTAGATATTAATGATTTTTCAGAGGGCACAAGACAAGGATTAGGAATTTACAGTGTATTAGCTACCTAGAATACAGTAATGATAAGAGCTAAACATAAAGCCTAGGACATTTTTAGCCAAGTCAAAACTCAGCTTAGGGTAAATCCAGTTAAACAACAGTTTCTGGTGCCACGTGTGGTATAATTTTAGCACTGTGTGACTTATTTTAATGCCATAAGCACCCTTAAATCTATTTCCATAAACTTCACACTTGTCAGAATAGCTAAAATCAGAAACACAAGAAACCAGCATTGGCAAGGGCATGGAGAAAAAGGAACCCTCATGCGTGTTGGTGGGAATGCAAATTGGCTCAGCCACCATACAAAACAGTATGGAGTTTCCTCAGAAAATTAAAAATAGAATTACCATATGATCAGTAATTCCACTACTGGATATTTACCCACAGAAAATAAAAATTCTAATTTTCGAAGATATATGCACTCCAGGTCCATTGTAGCATTATTTATAATAGCCAACTAGTGACAGAAATCCAATGTCTATCAAGAGATGAATGGATAAATAACATATGGAAGATAAAGAAAATAAATATGTCTAAGTATACACAGACATACAATGGACTATTGCTCAGTCATAAAAAAGAATGAAATCTTGCCATTTGCAATAATATGGATTGATCTAGAGAATATAATGCTAAGTAAAATAAGTCAGAGAAAGACAAATAGCATATAATTTCACTCATAGGTAGAATTTAAGAACCAAACAAATGAACAAAGAGACAAACAAACAAACAAAAAAAGCAGATCCTCAAATAATAGAATACTAACTATTGGTTGACAAAGAGGAAGGAGATGGAGGGATGGATGAATTAGGTGAACAGTATTAAGAGTTTTTTGAATCACTATATTGTACACCTGAAACAAATAGAACACTATATGTTAATTATGCTAGAATTTCTTTCTCACTAATATTTTATTAGTGACCTTTCTTAGTGAGTTATGGTATATTACACAGATAAACCAATATTATATTGATCTATCAATATTTTCCTATGTTTTGCCTTTTGATGTATGTAAATATCTCTATGGTCAATTATAAGGTTAATACAACTTTACTTTTTCTTTTGTTCTGTCTCTTTACTCAATTGCTTAATTATGTTTTTATTTTAATTCATATGTAGTTAACATACAGTGTTAAATAGTTTCACGTGTGCAATACAGTGATTCAACATCTATACATTACTCAGTGCTCATCAAAATACTGGAATATAAAAAAATAAATAAAATTTAAAAATGTTTTACTTCCATAAAATATTTAATTAACATTGTTGATTTATTTGTTCTGTTGCCACCTTCTTTTTTTAATTTGACTCTCCAAAACATGATTAAGAGAAATCATAATAGGGGACCCTGGGTAGCAGTCAGTTAAGCATGTCATTCTCGGTTTATGCTTAGGTAGAAAGCTCATGGTTTATGAGTTCAAACCCCACACTGGGCTCTGTGCTGGCAGGGCAGAGCCTGGTTGGGATTCTCTATGCTCATCCCCCACTCACACTGTCTCTCTCAAATAAACAAACTTTTTAAAAAACCATACACTAGGAGGCAAGATGGTGGAGAAGTAGAGAGCTCCATGCATTTCGCTTGCACCCATCTCTCAAACAGAGAAGGCCTGAAGTCATAGGACACAGCCACAGGAGTTTGGGAAGAGAGAGACAGAGTATAATGGGAAGGCAACCTCATAAGTGTGTGAGAGCCAACCAGGAAAGATAAAAGCGGGCTGGGACCAAAGACATGGAGGGTGGGGAGGGAGTCCCGCTCAGGGCAGCCACTGTCAGTCAAGGGGAAAACAAAAAGCAGCTGAAATTGCTCATAGAACTGTCCCTGAAGAAGATAAAAACCTTGGCTTGGAAGGAGAGTGTTTTTCGTTCTAGCTGGGGTGCTGACTTCCAACTAGGCGCCCTCAGTCCCAGAAAGCGCCAGGAAAAGCAGCTCTGCTGCGCTCCTGGCACCATCATCATCGGCACAGACGTTTTGGGCCTGAGGCTGCCTTCCCTAGGCTTGACACCCAACAGCGCGGAGGCGGCAGTCAGAGGCTGAGTTCCCCAGGCTTAACCCCTGGCAGTGTGGAGGTGGTGGACCCTAGGCTGCTCTGCCACCACTTGACCCCAGCGAATCTGAGGCTGCACCACTTCCCCTGCACTGCCCCCCACCCCCTGGACTCCCAGGAGCAGTGAAGCAGCGACCTGCTGGACTGTGTTTCAATCGGTATCAATAAAGCACGCTGACTGGGACCTGGAAACGAGGTGGGGCATGAGGCACAGAACACAACCCACCTTGGCTATGCCTGCAGCACAGGGAGATCAGACCCAGTGAGTGATTTGCAACACTTGATTCAAGAAGGGACTGGGGTGACGCCATTTTTCTCCCCACAACCACCAAGGCGGGGCCTCAGGGAGCATCAGGCGGGAAGCAGTGGAGGCTAAGACCTGTCTACAGCAAACCACGCCCATCCCCACTAAAGAGCTGCTTTTTTTCTGTGTTTTTTTTTTTTTTTTTTTTTTTTTTACCGGAGCAGGGGGAACACCAACATGGATGCACTGCCCAGATTAATTCCAGATAAATTCTTTCTATTTAGATATATTCTCCCTTTTCTCATTCATAACCCTCCCCTCTGCTGGACTGGGAACTCAGGTCACTGGTTTGCTTAAACAGTCACATTTAATCCATTCTCTAGATGTACATTCTACACCTCCACCACTACCTTTTATCTCTCTCTCTCTGGGGTAATCAGACTATATAGTTTCTCTGAGTAACATCTTCGTTTCTTTCTTCTTGCCTCTAAACATATTCTACGATTTCTCCATCTGAATCAAGCCTCTTAGTCTCTCTGCCTGGTCATTTCATTTCCAATTTTGCTTCCTCACCGCCCTGTCATTTCTCGCTTTGTATATGCTCTTCGGGATTTTTCTTTTTTCTTTTCTTCTTTATTTTTTTTTAATTTTAATTTTTATTATTTGTCTTTCCTCATAGCTCTTTTTTCTTGTTTTGTTTTGTTTTCTTTTTGTCCCTTCCTCTTTTTCTTTTTCCTTTTCCCTTTCAGTTTGCATGTTTGTTGGATTTGCCTGTGCGTTTCTGTACCTTTGTCCCTGTGTGGTTGTCTGTTTTCTTTTCCAGAACTACCTCAAGAAACAAGCCAAAGTACAGATGGTGGAGAGTCCCAAATACCACTACGAGTAGGGAAAGAAAATAACCAAAGTCTCAAGAAGAGAAACTAAGAGACACCATTCAAAGAACACTTCCTAAATGGACAGGACCTGGACAGCCAAAGAGCCCTCTTTAATACAGCAGCACCCCAGGGGCAGAGTACATAACAAGCTTTTAAAATTAACAAGAGATAGAAAGCTAGCCGAAATGACGAAATGGAAGAACTCTCCTCTAAAGAAATTCCAGGAAAAAATGACAGCTAAAGAACTGCTCAAAACAGATATAAGCAACATGACTGAACAAAAATTTAGAACAATAATCATAAAATTAATCACTGGGCTTGAAAAAGGCATGGAAGACATCAGAGAACTATTGCTACAAAGACTGTGGAGCTTAAAAGTAGTTCTGATGAACTAAAAAAATGCTATAAATGAGATGAATAATAAAATGGAGGCATTAAATGCACGGATTGAAGAGGAAGGAAGGAGAATAAGAGATTTACAAGACGCAATTATAGAAAAAGAGGGAGTTGAGAAAAAGAGATAAACTGAGCCAGGAACACGAAAGGAGAATTCAAGAGCTCAGCGATACAATCAAATGGAACAATATCCATATCATAGAAATTCGAGAAGAGGAAGCAAGAGGGAAAGGTGCTGAAGGAGTCCTTGAACAAACTATAGCAGAGAACTTCCCCAATCTGGGGAAGGAAATAGATATTGAAATCCAACAGGCAGAGAGAACTCCCCTCAATGTAACTTGAATTGCTCTTCTGCACAACATATCATAGTGAAACTGGCAAAATATAAGGACAAAAAGAGCATTTTGAAAGCAGCTAGGGAGAAAAGGGCCTTAACAGAGAAAGGGAGACTTGTCAGAGTGGTGACAGACCTATCTACTGAAACTTGGCAGGCCAGAAAGGAATGGCAGGAAATCTTTAATATGATGAATAGAAAAAATATGCAGCTAAGAATCCTCTATACAGCAAGGATAGGAGAGATAAAAATCTTTCCAAATAAATAAAAACTGAAAGAATGCATCACCTCTAAGCCAGCCCTACCCCAGAAATCCTGAGGAGAACACTATGAGGAAAATGTTGCAAGGAAAGCAAGATACCAGAGACACCACCACAAGCATGAATCCCATAAAGGACACGATGACTCTAAACCCATATTTTTCAATATTAACAATGAATGTAAATGGGCTAAATGACCCCAATCAAAAGACATAGGGTAGCAGAATGGATTAAAAACCAAAATCCATCTATTTGCTGTCTATAAGAGACTCATTTTAGACCTGAGGACACCTTCAGATTGAAAGTAAGGGGATAGGGAAATATCTGTCATGCTACTGGAAGTCAAAAGGAAGCTGGAGTAGCTATACTTATATCAGACAAACTGGACTTTAAAGTAAAGACAGTAACAAGGGATGAAGAAGGGCATTAAACAATAATTAAAGGGTCTATTAATCAGGAAGCGTTAACAATTATAAATGTCTACACACTGAATATGGAAGCACCTAAATAAATAAAACAATCACAAAAAGAAACAATCTTAGGGATGAGAATGTGTTAATAGCAGGGGACTTTAATACTCCACTTACAGCAATGAATAGATCAACTAGACAGAAAATCACTAAAGAAACAAGGGACGTGAATGACACATTGGACCAGATGGATTTGACAGATATATTTAGAACTCTACATCCTGAGGCCATGAAATTCACTTTCTTCTCAAGTGTGCATGGCATATTCTCCAATATAGATCACATACTGGGACATAAAGCAGCCTTCAATAAATAGAAAAGAAATGAGACCATACAATGCACACATTCAGATCACAATGTTATGAAACTTAAAATCACCATAGGAAAAAGTCCGGAAAACCTCGAAAACCATGGAGATTAAAGAACACCCTTCTAAAGAATGATTGAACCAATCAGGCAATTAGAGAAGAAATTAAAAAATATATGGAAACAAATGAAAATGAAAATATAACTATCCAAACTCTATGGGATGTAGCAAAGGCAGTCCTAAAAGGAAAGTACATTGCACTCCAGGCCTACTTCAAGCAATTAGAAAAAGTTCAAGTACAAAATCTAACAGTTCACCTAAAGGAACTAGAGAGAGAACAACAAGAGAACCCCAAACCCAGTAGGAGAAGGGAAATAATAGAAATCAGGGCAGAAATAAACAACGTAGAAAGCATCAGAACAGTTGAACAGATCAACGAAACAAAGCGTTGGGTTTTTTGAAAAAATAAACAAAATTGACAAACCTCTAGCCAGGCTTCTCAAAAAGAAAAGAGAGAGCACTCAAATAGACAAAACCATGAATGAAAATGGACTGATTACAACTAACCCCTCAAAAATACAAGCAATTATCAGGGAATACTATGAAAAATTATGTGCTCAGAGAGGGCAAGATGGCGGGGAAGTAAGGAGCTCCGTACATCTCACTTGCCCCCATATCTCACATGGAGAAGGCCTGAAGCCATAGGAACCCTTAGAGAATCCAGGAGTATGGGAGGAAAAGGAGACAGAGTCTGCTGTAAAAACCCTATAGTGGCTACCTCAAGAAACAAGCCAAAGTACACATGGTAGAGAGTCCCAAATACCACTACGAGAGGGAAAATAAAATAACCAAGGTCCCAACAAGAGAGACCAAGAGATACCATTCAAAAAACACTTTCTGAATCGACAGGCCCTGGACAGTGAAAGAGCCTTCTTTGGTACAGCAGCTCTCACTAGTGCAGAGAGCATAACAAGATTTTAAAACTAACAAGAGATAGAAAGCTAACCAAAATGACTAAACAAAAGAGCTCTCCTCCAAAGAAATTCCAGGAAGAATTGACAGCTAAAGAACTGCTCAAAACAGATAAAAGCAAAATAATTGAGCAAGAATTTAGAACAAAATCATGAAATTAATCGCTGGGCTTGAAAAAAGCATGGAGGACATCAGAAAAACAATGGCTACAAATAATATGGAGCTTAAAAATAGTTATGATGAACTTAAAAATGTGCTAAATGAGATACATAATAAAATGGAGGCATCCAAGGCACGGATTGAAGAGGCAGAAAGGAGAATAAGTGATTTAGAAGACACAATTATAGAAAAAGAAGAAACTGAGAAAAGAGAGAGAAACTGATCCAAGAACATGAAAGAAGAGTTCAAAAGCTCAGTGATACAGTCAAACGGAACAATATCCGTATCATAGGAATCCCAAAAGAGGAAGAGAGAGGGAAAGATGATGAAGGAGTCCTGGGACAAATTATAGCAGAGAACTTCCCCAATCTGGGGAAGGAAATGGACATTGAAATCCAACAGGCACAGAGAATTCCCACCAGATGTAACTTGAATTGATCTTCTGCACAACATATCATAGTGAAACTGGCAAAATATAAGGACAAAGAGAAATTTTTGAAAGCAGCTAGGGAGAAAAAGGCCCTAACATACAAAGGGAAACCTATCGGAGTGGTGACAGACGTATCTACTGAAACTTGGCAGGCCAGAAAGGAATGGCAGGAGATCTTCAATGTGATGAACAGAAAATATATGCAGCCAAGAATCCTCTATCCAGCAAGCCTGTCATTCAAAATAGAAGGAGAGATAAAAGTCTTTCCAAATAAACAAAAAGTGAAAGAATCTGTCACCACTAAACCAGCCCTACAAGAAATCCTGAGGAGCATCTCTCTGAGGGAAATGTTGCAAAGGAACACAAGATACTAGAGACACCACGACAAGCATCAATCCCAAAAACGACAGAATGACTCTAAACCCATATTTTTCAATAATGACACAGAATGTAAATGGGCTAAATGCCCCAATCAAAACACATAGGGTGGTAGAATGGATAAAAAAACAAAACCCATCTATTTGCTGTCTACAAGAAACAAATTTTAGACTGGAGGACACCTTCAGATTGAAAGTAAGGGGATCGAGAAATATCTATCATGCTACTGGAAGTCAAAAGAAAGATGGTATAGCTATACTTATATCAGACAAACTGGACTTTAAAGCAACGGCAGTTAAAGG